CGTTTTTTCTGTTTTCTTTTTGAATTTGTAGGTCTGATGAATGTCGTATTTACGGGAATAAATTATGACCATGGAATATTAGTGTTTATATAATATATATATATATATATATATATATATATATATATATATATATATATATATATATATATATAGCTCACTAATCCTGTCATTCCATGGTCATGGTACTGTAACTATTTCATTCCAATATCAGGAATATAGAGGGTTTGTGAATAATTTTTTATGAGTAAAAGTTTGATGTAAAAAGGGTATATTATGATCGGTTGTCCCTAGAGTTGTAGTTGATGGGGAAGCATCCTCTCCGGAGTCTGTTCAAGAAAGCTACACTTCTGGAAAATAAACTGTTCAAAACTTTTTTTAAATTTAAGAAGGGAATGAAGACCCTGCGTATGTGTCATGACGGGTCGTATATGTGAAGGCCTGAACTGGGAGAGAATAAGGAATGTATCTCGTCTGCACATTTGCGATGGAAATGACGATAGATTATCGAGAAGCGAGTGACATTTCGCCTCTAGGGGAAAGTTGTTTCGGGGAGGGAAATAATTACCGAATTTTCCGGTTTAAAAGACTCCTTTTTTTCCCCTAAAAAAATACCGTTAAAAAAAATCGCCTGCGTCTTCCAAGACGAATATAAGGCAAAGCCCAGCCTCAAGTAAGCTTGGGCGGTCACCTTATTGGCTTGACTGATAGGGACCTGAAATTGTAAGTCATTGCTCTATAATGTTAGTCATCTATCTAATTCATCCTTTTATATGGCGTAACTTCAATACTTAGCTGTTACAAGTCTTTCCAAGACTATAAATCTTGTTGGAGCCGAGCCAGTAGCTTAAACATGTTCTGTTTACTTGCAGCGGAGGGGTCCTTTCTGCTTTTGACTCGTATGTCATTTCCATACAAACAAAATTGGATGAGTGATTAATGTAAACAATACATGGCGCCTGTATGTGAGGGACGCATTGTGAATGTTTAGTTGTATGAGAATAACTTTTTTTCTTAGAAATTTCTTTCCAATATTAGGGTCCGTCTTCCAAGCCGCAGCGTCTTGTAAGCCGGAAAATACGGTAAACACCCACAAGTTTGCCTGAACGTTTTCGATCTGTGTCGAAATGTGAGGATTGACCAGCCCAGATATCTTTGGTTTGATCTGACTCTTGCAAAGATAGATCATGGCAGGTGAAGCCAGGTACTTACTGTAGCGCTATAAAGTGATTCTTTAAACCAAGGGTCGTATACATGGGTTCCAGTTGGGATGAAACTCTCAAGTCTCTATTGCAAAGATCCTCCTTGAGGATGTAACCATTCATCTTGACTGCTGAGAATTCATGACTAGCTGGGTAATAATGAAAAGGCATTGAAAGCGGCATTGAAAGCTACAAACCAGTTTTTACTCCATTGGTCTATTAGAACAAGGAGAAAGATCACTTTCCAGGCTCAGATCAGATCTGTTATGGGGTCCTACCCTTTTCATATAAGTGGATTCTACAAGTATTACTTGGAGTGCTGCCGTTAAATAACCAGAGTTAGACAGTCAGTGAGAGGATATGCGGCGAGAGAGAGAAAATATACGGACGGAGATAGTGTGAGGTAACCGCTTGTAGAAGTCAGTTACAGAGCACGTAGATTCTAAGGAAATCCTACTTCGAGACTGTATATATCTATCTATATTTGCTACTAACCGCGTTCCTGGATTTACTAACAATATTACTCTTTGTATGATTGTGCAAATACATTTTATTTCTTATATTTAATTATTACGTTTGTCATTCCTTGGAGACCGAATTCATCTCGGAATCCACAACAAGATCTTTAGATGTGCACCCATAAACTGTGGTATTATCTACATATATATTCAATAATGATCTGGGCTTGTTCGTAGGCACATCGTTAATACAGACTGGGCAGTGATACTTGTGAGGAACCTGCATTGTTTTCAATAGGCTTCAGAAGCCTAATTTTGATAGCGAGATTCAAAGACCTTCCTAATAGGAAGAAATCGGTGAGTTCTTATTTAGAGAGGTTGTGTTGAGACGTGGACACCAAAAGCATTGGCAGATAAAGCAAAAAGGATATTCTAAAATATGTGTCTAAGATATATATTTATTCGGCTGAAACTTTTAATCTCTTTATCGTTGCTATTTTTAAGACGGTCATAGCTAAACATTGCCGTAAAAGATAATGTAGGAGAGTGGGCTGAAATGTTCATAGGCTGACTATGAAGGAATGATGCTGGAGCTGTAAAATCTTGCATACATTAATTTCAATTCTTCTTATTCATAAATTCATTGCTTCTTTCCAGGTACGAGAATTGGCTGAAATGTTCCTAGGCTGAAAAAAAAAGTAATGCAAGAGCTGTCAAAAGATTTCACAGCTCTAGTATCATCCATTATAATCAGCATATGAACCTTTCAGCCCACCGTCGTACGTGGAAAGAATCAATCCAGTTGATAATAAGAAGATTTGAAATTAATCCATACAAGATTTCACGGATTTTGTTTCAATCCTTCATAGTTAGTCTTTGAAATGTTCAGCCCACCGACGTACGTGGAAAGATACAATGCAGATGCAAGATTTCACCGCTCCGGCATCATTCTTTCATAGTCAACCCGTGAGCCTTCCAGCCAATCTCGTGGCGTTATATCTGTTTGCAATGAAACCATTTTCCTTGTTGACACGGTGCTGGTAAGGTCAAAGTTATTGACTGATTCGGATTTTGTCGAAGTGGTAGTGTTGTCATCTTATGAGCCCGACGTAGAAAATATTACATAAAAAATATTCTATTGTTTGTACAAGTAGATGTAGTTCGAGCTGAAGATGTTTCAACCCATGAATAATATATATATATATATATATTATCAAGGCAGTCGGAAGGCGAGAAATATTAAAGAAGGTGGCAACTTTTCTTTAGAATTATTTGATGTTTTCATTTCTAAGTGACATTTCCATTTTTTTTGTTTTGTTTATATGTTTCTTTCTACATTCTGACAGTAAAAGATAGCCCATTTTTTTTCGCAAGTTTTTTCTCTCGAAACAGCGTTGTCTTTTTTTTTCTTCCGCCATCTTACGTTTTCTTACTTGCACACAAACACATGCAGCAACGCATGCGCACAAAGCGCTATGCGAATATAATATTACGCCAGAGCAAAAGCTTTCAAACCAACGAAGAAGCCAGATGTTTAAAGAGGTTGACCCGGGTTTCACTACCGGCCGACGAATACAGAAACACGTCATTCAATTTAAAAAAAAAAAAAAAATAAAAAAAAATATTTCACCCCAAGCAACGCAGGGGTTTGAAAAATTAAAGAAAAGACTGTGTATAGGGAGGATTGAGGAAATGATAAAAAAAATGAACGCGATTCAAGAAAATGGCGACTGACGCTGCATTTAAATTTTGGAAGATTTTAGTTATCAGTGAATCAAGTAAACGGAAGAGTGTTCCTTTAGCGGGAAATACACGAAAAGAAACTCTTGGAAAGAAAGTGGCGGTCGCATTTAACTATTTCAACAGTAAACCTATTTACAATCGTCGTGAATTATTTGTAATGTACTCCGTTATAGAAACAGATGTTGCAGAGATAACGTTACGAAGATGCGTTAACCAAATGACACATTCTTCATGGCAATTCCAGATCGAATAGAAACGGTACAAACATCTGCAGAAGGTAGCGAAGGAAAGATAGAAAGAAGGATAAAACATCAACTTCAGTGGGACAGAATACGTGGTTTTAAGCAAAAGTATGAACTCAAAATATAAAATTATATATTGGGGATTCCAAAATCAAACGAGTAAAAAAAAAAACATTTTGAATATCTGGCAAAGGTTTTAACAGAGAACGCAAAGAGCGACGCCTAAATCCGAAGGCACGTTTTAATAGTTAAGATGACTTCCAAAAGCTAAGCAGTATATTACGAAACAGGAAATCTTTCGTTAGAAACAAAGAAAAGAGTAATGAACTGTTGCGTGCTACCAGTCCTCTTACACGATAGCGAATGCCGGACAATGTTCTCAAAGAAGAGGAGACTTACAGCAAGAGGTTCGATAGAAGAATGCTGGGGATGCTATGGACCAAACATGTGAGCAACTACAAAGTTTT